AAAACAGGAATCTGGGGAGAGAGGCTCGTATTGGACATCAGGTGAGTCAGAAGAGAGTTTGGGTAGTCCCGGGATTGCGTGAGATCCCTCTTTCCACACTTTTCTGGAGGGGGGTGGTCTCCGTTTCCAAAATCTAAAATAAATCTGCAGCATTCCGTAAAGTCTCTCCCACACCCTTCCAGGGGCTGTTCTTCCTGCCCCTCAGACCTTCCTATGACTCCTGTATTCCTTGGCCTTCTGTTTTGGGCACACATGGGCTTGTCCAGTCAGATAGACCTGAATGTCATATCTTGGTTCTCAGCCACACGAATGAAATTCTGCAGCAAGATGGATGTGTGTTCGGATAAGTACCTGCTGGAGCCATTCAGTCTGACTGCCCAGAGAGGCCCCTCTGCCTGGGCACAGCCGCTCAGAGCTGTTCCCCATTTGAGGCTGACCCCGACTACGTTGAGAATAGTGTCCAGGTCCCCCCGTGTATCTCTATGGTCTTGGTCTTCCATGCTTGACTGCCAGGAATAGATCAGCTGTGGGCTTCTTTCACAGATGAGAACCCCAGATCCTCAGCCTTAATTAATAATATGTTAATGTGAAGTGAATTACCATTCACTTGAAGATGTAGGCCTAGAGAACTTAGGAAATAAAGTGAGTTTAAGCTTAGCACCTCTCTTACTTGCTTTAGAGGTATTTTCAGAAGTGGTGAGAAGATTGCAGTGTAGTCACACGTCGGGCAGACTCTCCTGGGTGTGCATGCGTACAGTCTAGAAGCAGGGGCTGGTGTTGCTTGACTGGTGCCAATTCGTGACATTTTTTTCAGAAATACAAATGAAATTATGCATTAGCCTTTTTTGGATAGGGTGTGTGTGTGTGTGTGTAAAAATAAGCATCAGAAATTGACATAAAATACCATAATTAGATCTGTAGAGTGATTTAAGATAATTCATGAAACATTTGGGGGTAGCTGGTTTCTTTGACTAATGGTTTCACTCAGAGCAAGTCGAAATGCCTCAGAGGGTAACCACTGGCCCAGGACTGCTCCCGCGGGGAGTGAGATGCTCCAGGGGCCACAGCGAGCCACTGAGACTACTTCCATGGGGCCATGGAGCACTGGTTTGCATCAAAGTTAAAACCTGTGTCTTAATGTGTTTACCTTTAAAGGCAAGGGCATGTCTGTGTTGATCCCCAAGCTATATATTTATAGCAAAAACAGGATTTTTAGCCCTTCATGATTTTTTTCTTACATCGTAGTTAGTTGATCTTTTATTGTTTGGTATTTAGAAAAATTTTAACTGATATTTAAAATTGAGTATATACGAGAGATTTGCTCTCTTGGGAGAAAATCAGAAACGTTTTACTTCTGAAACAAGATTGTTCTTCAGCCAATTTTTGAAAGATTTTGTGACTCGCGGTTAGCAAAGATGAGGACTGGGCAGGCAGGTGTGTTTTCTGGCTGCAGCACTGGCCATTTGGAGAGCACAGGCACAAGCCCACTGCGGCCAGATGCTCTTCATTTTTTCAAATAATGCCAGAAACCACAGATTTTTAGATCTCTCCCAGATTCTGCCTTAAAAAATAAATCATTGTGTACTCAGGAAAAATCATCTATGAGCTCAACCCAGACTCCAGGCCGCAAGTCTTACCCACATTCATGTGGCCAGAACTCGGTCACGTAGTGTATCTTGAGTCCACAGTGGGGGGTTTGGTGTGATTGCGAGAAGGAGAGCCTCACACACTGTAGGGCCCTGAGGTTGGGCTTCCTGAAGAGCTCTGCCCACCTGCTTTGGGTCTTGCGCTGAGTCGGCAGTCACACACCAGGAGCACACAGTCTTGCCGGAAGGTTCTTCACAGGTCCCAGTGGGGTTCCTTGAGGATCCCCTCAGGAGCCAAACCCCAGAGCTGCTCCCCAGCAGCTTTATACATTGAACGTGCTATGCTTGAAAGTTCTCTTGACAAACAGCTGGAAGCTTGAGGACCCGGGGACCCGCTTCAGACACGTGGCCAGCTCCATCACATGGGTTTCCTACAGTGTGTACATTTCAAGGAACCTACTCTTCTTCCACAGTGGCTATTTGGCCTGGACATGAAGAGTTTTTTGACCTAAGACGATCTCTTTGTCGGATACCCCCGTTAGGACACTGCACGTGTTCCTGTCCAAGTTCAGACCAAGTGGGCTGCACTGTGTGCGAGTGGATACCCTAGGGCTTCTGCTGTGTGCAGTCAGGGACAGGTGCACTTGGGAAACTCTGCCTTTCAAGGGAAGTATGTCAGGAGGTTTTTAGGCTGGTTGTTGTCTGGGAGCCACTCCCCGGAAGGGAAGCCACACTGCGGGCTTAAGTGTCGTCCTGGCATCATTGGCTCGAAGACAGACAGTGAAGGTGTTTGGGTACTTGTGAGCCTTGACCTTGTGTGCCTCAGGCTGGTGTAAGAAGAGGTTTTGTGGACAGAGTGCACGCTTGATCATGGCTTGTCACTGGTGTGATTGGGCCACACAGAGAGGAAAGAATCATCTCCTCAACGTTTTTGCCAAATGGCAGGTATGCCCACAGGCAGTTAGGCTTTGGGGCAGGGGGTTGCTGGCTCAGTGGTGAGTCACATCTTGTGTGGATCTTCTCTTGGTCCTCTCTGTCCTCTTTCCAGCTTTTTCTTGGCCCTACCATAAAAGTATTAGCAGTGTCCTCGGGCCCCTATCTGCCGAGAATTCATGTGATGAAAGTAGAAATGGTTTTGAGGTCTTAGGGTGGGTGGGGTTTGTCCTGAACGTGGTTCTGAGTGTAGGTGTGCGAGATGAGGATCCTCCCAGGGAAGAGCAGGCCCAGGGTCTGCAGGTGTGGGCACCGGGGCTGGTGGAAGTGGCACAGACATCAGTGGGGCAAGGGGAGGGGTGCCCCAGCAAGTCTCAGGGACAGCCAGCCCCAGGTGACCGCCCATCTCATCCCTCTCTCATATCTGCTCCCCACTGTTGAGCCCAACAGGAAGCCAGTGGTTGCAGCCTAAATGGGTACCCTCCTAGGAGAGCAGGGCAGAGGAAGGGGATGGTGGGAAGGTGGCCAGCAGACACCTATATGGACATTGGCTGCAGGGGGAGACCCATACTGCGCTGCCCAATGGGAGCACCTCGTCCGCCCCCCGAGATGGTGCCCTGCTGTGGGTCTGAGCCCCGAAGGAGCACGTGGTCTGTCCCTGATTGCCACCCCCACTGACCGTGAGCTGCTCCTCTGTGTCTGAGCTGCCAGATGCCCAGCCCTTCTCCCCAATCTGCTATGGGGATTGGCCCCCGAGTGGGTGCAGGAATCCTAGCCAGCAGCATCAGTCACGATGTGTGCTTACAGGATTGGAGGACCTGAGTGGGCCCAAAAATCAGCACCTCCGTGGTAGGGGGGAAATGGCTAAACTGGCTCGGACCCTGCAGCCAGACGGGGAGCCAAGAGCGGGCCCCTGACCTGCAGTCCTGCGCGCTGCCTGAGGGCACCTTTGACAGCAGGCGTCTGAGGTGGCAAAGAGCTCCAGTTGTCGGTATCGTGTTCATAGTGATTTCTGGGTATCTGAGCTTCAGCAGGTGCCCCCAGGATGTCGTGTGCACCCACGTTTCCGGAGGAGCATCTGAAACAGCAGGTGTTAGGGCAGGGCCTGGGGGTCTGCATTCCTCACGAGCTCCTGGCCGAGCACTGATCTGAGAGCCGCACTCAGGAGGGTCTGGGTCCACCCATGCTCCAGGTCCTGAGGTGTTGCTTTCAGCTTTTTTCTGGAAGTGGGTAGAGCTGCCTGGGAATAGTTTTCCTCTGTGACATTCAAAGTGTGCCCGGTTCAGATAACAGCATAAAATCGGTATCTCATTTTAAGGTAGAAATACATTTTTTGAAGCATCTCATCTCTGTGGACCACTTGTTTGTTGCATGGCTCAAGTAGGCATTTCAGTAGATGATCTTGGGATCACAGTCCAGTCGGTTGTCGGTAGCAGAGCCCCAGTTCCCACATCTTGATGGCTCACCGGGACCACCAGAGTTCTCTGGGAAATGCGCATTCTTTCCAGCCCCAGCCCCAGGCCTTCGGAATCAAAATACAAGTATTTTGAAGCCTCTGTTTTTTAGAAGTTCCATGGGCAGTTCTGGTAATTGGCCAGATTTGGGAACTACAAGCCCGATCTGTGCACTTAAAATCTTGTGCTATGAGAGCCTTCTATTAAAACAATTTGAACTTGATTGGTTCCAAACTAAAATAAGCAGGAAAGTCTAAAACAAAACAAACCTGATCTCTCTGAAGATCTGCATCCAACACATGAATTCACTCACAGACGGTAGGATGGCCGCACTTTAGAGAAAGGCACTGAGTCATGATTTTGAGTTTATAGTTGATAAGACCAGGAGATTACTCGTTCTGATGTTGAGCTCCTGATCACTATCATCCCACACACGATGGGACCATGGGACTGTTCCATCACCACCCCATGTGCTGAATAGTGGCGAAGGCTGTCTTTCCTCCGCTGGGCCTCTTCGGGGTAAGAGTGAGCTAACCTGGGTTAAGAGTGCATGTCCTCCAATGTCTTGTCTAGGAGTTTCGATTCATGTTGACCATAAAGTAGAGCTTCACTGTGAAAGTTGGCTGCCATTTGTGGTCATTTTCCCTTCCATCAATATGTGGACACAGTGGGGGCTCCTGTAAGGTTCGTCTTGCTGGGACTGAGGCTTTCCCCAAAAGTGGGTCTTCCATCTTCACCTCCACCCCACCTAGAGATGGTGTTGCGTCGGCGTCTTTTTGTTTAGGACTGTGTTGCGTGGTTAGGTTCCTTGGCAGTGCGCCAGCAGGCTCCCTAGGATCTGTTCCACCCTTGTTTTCCTCTTGAATATTGTTCTGTAGGATGCATCCATCTTTCACGTAGGCAGGACGCCAGCTGCTCTCGGTACCGAGGTCCACCACGCGCAACCACGTGGACATCTCAACTGACTCGTGCTGGCTTCTGGGGTCTGCAGTCCGAGGTGGTGTTCACCTGACTTGTTTATTCCTAGGGAATGTCACTAGTGCATCTGGGTCTCAGATGGCCAGCGGCATCAGCCTGGGCTCCTTCGGCAGCCGGCCGGACGGCATGCAGCAGCGCTCCTACTCTGTCTCCAGTGCCGACCAGTGGAGTGAGGCTACGGTCATTGCAAACTCAGCCATCAGCAGTGGTAAGAGAGGGCGCAGCCCCCCGGACCCGCGCCCCCCTCACAGTCCTCGGTGTGAGCCAGGGGCCGGATGTGGCTCCCTGGCCATCCGCGCTCACTCTGGGTGTAGGCCCTATGGGGCAGCTTCGTGAGCCGGGTGTGTGTCACCTTTCATCTGCAGAGCATTTGGTCCTTGACAAAGGTTTCACTCACATCCTTCCATGTGGTCCTATCAGGGAGGAGCAGATTGCCTGCCAGGTTTGGGAAGCGAGGCTGCACACACATGGTCCCGTGACAAGGAGGCGAGAAATAATCATAGCCAGTATCTCAGTCACACTTCCCCGTGAGACCCCACACCCATACTTCGAGGAGCACTGCTCATGTTCCATTGTCGGACGTGGGGTGTGTTTGCTTTTTTCATCAAAGGAAAACACAGAATTCATTCTCCTTATTAGTTTTCCAAAATTCCTGATGCACCTTCTAAATTTGGAGAGTTCCCTGTCACCTTTTTTTTTTTTTGATGAGTGTGGGCAGCCTTTCGGGAGATGGGTGTGGACGTCAGAATCCACCCTGGTGTCTGGGCGGAATCATGACTGATGTGCTATCCAGGCCGCCTGGCTTTGCAGCCACGCGCTTTGCCTGTGGCGTTCTGTCTACAGCCCGCTCACCGGTATTTAATGGAATTCCCACTGTTGTATGTCATCTATCAGACAGGGGTTTAAAGTAATTTTAGCATAATTTGTTCTAATTAAAAGATTTGTTCTAATTAAAAAAACCCCCCCTCCCGCATGGCGGCCACAAGCCTGTCTGGTGCGAAGCATGGGTGTGCTTCCCTCCTTGTGTGGTTTGGGTGTGAACACAGCACCTGGTCCGGGGTGGCCTCTGTCGCCGAGTGTCTGCTGCTGTCATTAGAGTGAGCAAGCAGTTCCCATAATTACTGCATCATCAAGGTGCTCTTTCAGTATCGCTGGCCAGCCACGATTGGCCTGTGGCCGCCTTTCTTCACAGATGTTTCCGGAGCCTGTTGTGCACACTGCCTTGGTCCCTCCTGGTCAAGCGGGGACCTCTTAGAACTTTCCTCCTCCCAGTGCACTGTGGATCTACCACCATGGCCTGAGGAGGGCAACAGCATTGGAGTTCTCCTTATGTGCTATGGGAGTTACATTTGGGAAGAAGGGGGGAACAAAAGAGCAGGTTCTTAAGAAAGACCTCACCCCCAATATTTGCCTCCCCTCTACTCAGAAGGTTTTATAGGGGCGCCTGGGGGACTCAGTGGGTTAAGCGTCTGACTTTTGATCTCATCTTAGGTCTTGATCTCAGGCTCATGAGTGCCAGCCCTGCATTGGGCTCCATGCTGGGGGTGGAGCCTACTTTAAAAAAAAGAATGTTTTCTAGAAAAGGCATGGGAAGTGGCATATTTGTCTAAATCTGTTCTGTGTAAGCCTTCCTGCTGCACACTTATCTCTTTGATGAAGACTTACTAGGTAACTGTCCCCCCACCCCACGTCATAGCTCTTTGCGCCTAGCTAGGCGTGTGTGCCACAGGCACTCCCCAGCACCAAAGCTTGGGACTCTGTTATTTCCAGACCATCAGTTTGGTTGGAAGTGGCATTGCACGGAAAGAGATGGCATTGGTCTCTACACACACATTTATAAAGTTCCTGTAAGAGACGGTGCTCGCCTACATACAAATGGTGTTTTTATATTTACAAAGTGATTTCTCATCTGTTGACATCCTCGAGTGTCCATTCTTCATGTAGCATGCTCGGTAAAACTCGTTAGACTCCCTGACGCCACAGGGCCTGAGCCCCAAACATGACACACGAGGAGCTCCAGTCCCGCCCTTTGTCAGCCCTGTGCCAGGGGACACAGAGAACCTGTGGGAAAGCCTGGGCTGAGATTGTGCAGGTAGTTGAGGGATGGACAGTCCATCAAGGAAAACTGAAAGAGAATCCAACTTGAGCAATGCTTACAGACCCGGATGGGGGGTTTTTTGGTGCCAAACCACAAGAGGAAGTTATTATAAGCATTGAGGCAATTTGGACAAGGGCTCAGGGAGAAGGAAAAAGGGAAATGCAACCACCAGGGAGTGGACGTGACATGAAGGGGCTGTTGGGAGCGTGCAAGGGGAGATGGGTGCAGACTGGACAAGAAGAGGTCAGAATGGCAACATTAATTAGCATCTTAATTTTAAGGCTTAGAGTTGGCATCACTTATATAGCAAAGATCTGGAAAGGCAGCAGAGCACTGCACAGAAGGAGGATTCTTGCAGTTTTCCTCAATCCTTCCTGATTCTTCTATTTTCTGAGGGTTGATGGCATGTCACAACCAACATACAGTTGAAAAGGGAAACAGCCGTGGTAATAATAATGAGAGCTGATATTTATGGAGGTCTTCGTGTGGCTGATCTCATTTGATCTTCAGGGAGTAGACACTGATGTTAGCTCCACTTGGTGGGTAGGGAGATGTGGGACCGTATTGCTTGTCCAAAGTCACCCTCTGGGAGGGGCCGGGATGCAAACCTGAGAACACGTCATAGCTCTTTGCGTGGTGCTTCTTGAGATGTGCTTCCCAGATGAACAGCAGCAGTCACCACCCCTGGAAGTTGGTTACAAGCGCACATTCCTAATCTCTTCCCAGACCCACTGACTCCGAGGCTCAGGGCTGGGCCCCAGCAACCTGTGTGTTAACAAACCCTCCATGGAACGGTGTCGCGTGCTGACGTTTGAGAACCATGGCTCTGGGATCAGGCAGTGCCTGGGAGTTCGCTAGAAATGCAGCCATCCAGGCTCCACCAAGACCCGCCCGGTGGGAGCCTCATTTTACTAGGATCCCTGGGTACTCTGGTCCACCTGGGCATTAAGAAGCCCTGTCCCCACCTGCGGTGAGAGTAACATCCTGGCTTCTTGCTGCTTAGCACCATCCCTGCCTTCCGTGATCCATCAGGTCCCCAGACCCAGAGCAATTTTTAATGAACATCAGGGCATCAGGTCTGACAGGCGACTTCCAAGAAAACGTGTTTATGAATGGATTTCCAGACCTCAACTTGGGCATCAACATTCCCTGCCGTGTTGGAAAATAATCACCAAAGAAACAAACGTAATTAAGAGCTTTCTGTCATACTTTTTTCTTTTCAAGTTGCAGTTGATACAAATCCCACTCTCTTTTTTTTAATCATTTTATTCCCCCCTGCCTGGCCCAGGTATCTGGTTTGGATGTCAGAATCATAAAAGCTTACACAGTGCTAGCAGCAGGGACAGGGGAAGCTAAGCTGCTTTTGAATCCAAATGCCCCTGAATTGGTGAATTTGCCTTCCCATTGTCATACACTTTATTATAAAATGTAATAATAACAACATCAGGACTCAATTTTTCTCTGCCCCCTCGTCCACGACTAAATTAAGACTTTGGCTCCAGAGAACTTTTGAAAGGCTCCCCCTCTCTATGCACAGGTACCCTGAGGGGTTTCTCTCTTTTAAGCAGCTGTGAGCAACTCCTAATTAGATAGATTACTTTGTAGTGTGCAAAACTACCAAACAGGAGGTTCTGGTTAAATTAAGGGGGGAGGAGAAGAAGAATCCATTCTGTGAAATGGAATGCCCCACTGCTTTATGACTATTACTGTTGTAAGGTTTTACATTAAGTACCTGAGGTTTAAAATTAAATGTCTAATATAATTTGGCGTTGCTAACATGAGACCCGCATCTGCCCTTAGAGGAAATCCAGACAGCTCAGTTCGGGGTTTCAAATTGCTGTCTGCTGGCTCTCGAGCAGCACGGAGGATTGGGTCTCTCTTCGGCGAGGCGCCACATGCTGCTCGGCATAATTTTTTAAATGCAGAAACATATTCATCTTCAGCTTCGGCATTGGGAGAGTCTGTTCCCGTAGTACATGAAAAATTAATTTTTTTTCATTTTTCCTCACTCTCCTAAGTGTTTGACAGAAGTAATTTTTGCAGCAAGAGGGAATAAAAACTGGTGGCTGTAAATTCCTGTCCTGCAACCTCTTGTGTAGATTCTTTATGGACCCAGAATTGATCTACATGTCAGACCCTGTTGTGGTTTAAACTGTTTATCACCGTAATGGCAGCAGTGAGCCTGTGAACACCAACTTATAATCCTGGGTGAAAGAAATTGTTGTTTGCAGTCAATGAAGGGGCAGCTTAGCTTTATTGATAGATTCAGGACAATTATCTCTGCAACAACTATTGGCTGAGAGTTTTCGTGAGTCTTATCGGGAGCCTGTGAATTTTTTTTTTTTTTTTTGATTAATCATTTTCTTTATAGGTCGTTTTTTCTAGAAGCCTTAGCCTAGAGTTTGCATTACTGAGGGTGTAGCAGGGGACACCAGGAGGTCGTTTGTACACACTTTCTTGTCATATCTTGCTCTGAGGCTAAATGCATTTTGAGATGCATCACACCTATGCCAGTGGACCCCCCGCATGTGTGTCTGAGTGTGTTCAGGCCAGGCAGGCCAGGCAGGCCTGCCACCCCGTCTCCCACCAGTGCCAGCCTTGGGCCTCAACTGTTGGTGCTGCCACGGCAGCCCTGCCCCCCACGCCTCGGCTGTTAGGTTGTTCTGCCAGCTCTACCCCATCCCCCCACCCCGATTGCTCCATTCCAACAGTTCATCTTTGCTGCCCTGGCTGGCCATCACTGTGAATACTGCATTGCTTTCAGTGATTCTAAAGCATTTCTCTTCGACCCTTCCTCAGCCTGCCTCTACGCCCGGTCAGCAGACAGCCTTGTCATTGTGCACACACTGCACTCAGCTTTCTTCGTGAAAGTGCGGGTGTGTATGCATGTGCGCTTGTGCATCTCCTTCCAACAGTTTAATCCTGCGTCCTCCTGTTGGAATCTACCAAAATCTGCTATTGGACCACTGATCCTGAACCTGAAGCCTTTAAGCTTTTTAAACCTTTAGTTTGAACCGGTTTTTTTTTCCGTGGCTATTTTAATGATAGAGGCTAGACACACACGTTTCAGTCCCACTGGTTGTGTGCCCCACACTTCCCTCTGTCTTTCC